TGGACTCGATGATCCTTGAGGTCTCTTCCAACCCGGTTAATTCTATGATTCTAAGCCACAAATATGCATTGAACTACAATTTTTTTTCCAGCTGAGGTGAAAGATTAGATGATGCGTTTCTTTAAAGCACCTTGTGCTCAAAGTTGAACCGTTTCCTGCCTTGTGTTCTGTTTCTTCCTTCATACAAAATATTTTTAAATGACAGCGGTGTAGCATTACTTACCAAAGGATAATGTATGATCTTAGCTGTGACAATATTGGTTCCGTTGTGTGGATGCTGTGAGGGCTCCACTGTATGCTTAAAAGGGGGTGGAAATGTTCTGAGTAGTATTCTCTTACCTTGTTTCCTGTGAAGTGTTTTTGTTGGGAAGAAAGGTGAAACACTGAAAACTAACAGTTTACTTAATCCTTTGCTGTTCAGAGTGTTTATGTTTCAATGTTGTTTATGTAGTTGGGTTTGCATTTGGTTTGTCTGTTGCTTTTTGTATTTCACTGGGAAAATATCAAAATGGATTGTTTGGATATGTGGGGGATGTTTAGATGGAAAAGGGATGAAGGGAGGGGATGGCAAAGTCTGACAACATCCCATTGAATCCAGATGTGAATCACTGCCAGTCTGTTTTATAACTTTAAATGCATAAACCACATAGTTGGAAACTGATTGTTTTTCTTGGCTCTAAATTATTTTTAATCTAATCTTGTTGGACTCGATGATCATGTTTGTGGTTTTTTCCTTAGACTTCTTTTACTCTGTCCTGGGCAACATACTTGTTGGCAAAGCACCCAGAGGTTCAGCAACGTGTTTATGAGGAAATAGTCAATAAGCTGGGGAAAGATCAAGTTCCTGTTGCTCACGATGTCCCAAAATTGCCTTTGATTAGAGCTGTCCTGAAAGAAACCTTGAGGTAAGTAGTAGGCAAATGCAATCAATAACTAAAAGATTTTATAATCTTGTTCTAATGGATTTTGAGTCCATGCTAGCCTTCGTATTTAGTTGTTGTTACTGCTATTTGCTGCTTCTGCTTTTATTTATTGTAGCAGTATCATGTCCAAGGATGCCTCAGCAATGAAATCTGATAGATTATATAATGTTTAATATTTATAAGTATGGTAGAAATGGTATCAATTATGTAGGACTTTGTTAAGGTAAGTAATTGAAAGCCTGGGTTTTGCCTTTAGTCTGTATGATGAAGTGTAGCAACCTCCTCCCCCACATTGGTACTTTGCAGTGCCACTACAATAATTTTAAGCTTCTTGATTTAAATTAAAGGCATGTGACATACTTTTTTTTATATGTTTATACTAAATATTCATCATGAGGTGAGGGCAGTAAGAGGATTTCAGAGAAGGCATCAAACAAGGCCTTTTCAGCTTTAGCAGTAGTGCTAAAATGTCTCCAGCTTGAACAACTAACTGCATGTTTGCACATGTGTAAAGCAAACAAATATATAGATCAAATAGCTCAGCCTCCAGTTACTAGAAAATAACTTTTCTCAGGTAATGGTCATATTCTCACAGATGAATCAAGGTCTTTGAATCCCCTAGGTGTTCTCTACTTTTGAAAAACCTTTTTGCTGTGAATGCATGTGGCATTCATGTTGCGTATCTGTGAATGCAAACTGGAATCTAAACATTTTTTAATTGTATTAGCTATTACTATTGAAATTCTAATAAGTATTTCTCTCTAGGTTATATCCAGTATTGCCAGGAAATGGAAGAGTGACCCAAAAGGACTTGATTGTTGGAGGATACTTGATACCTAAAGGGGTAGGTGCTACTGCTGTTCTCTGCAGAGATCACAGTTTAATTTTCATGTATGGAATGTGATCTGCTGCAACGTGTGTGCACTTCATTGATTTTAAAGGATTTCACCAAGCTAGAACATGAGTAGGAAAGTATTTCAATAATACCCATTTACATGCCACAAATGGATTTGTAATTGGCTTGTTGCTGTTTTGTGTTTTTTAATTTGGATCCTCACCCACTAATCAGATTTACCATCGTGACTTGTTCTTATTATTCTTGAAGGTGGAGTCTATTAATAACATCTCTGTGTAATGTTACAGTTTGATTAAAAAAGCATAAATTTCATTATTCTTGCAGTTTTCTAATTCTTTGCATGTTCATTTCCTTTGTAGAAAGAGTTTAATTTCCTTTTAAGGTTATTAATCTTTCCTATATACTGTTGAAAGATTACACAAAGATCAGGGTAGAACTGTATGGTTCTATCATAAATGACAGCACTTTGGTATTAGAGCAACTAATTAGAGTCAGGATTCTTCATTGTTAATATACTTATTTAAATATTATTGCATTCACATCTCCCTCTCCTTCCTCTGTCCCTGGATTTATTTGGAAACATCATCACACCAATTATTGCTGGGTTTTTCACCTGAAGTATTGTAGGTTTTTTTAATTGCCATCTTCCATTTTTCCCTT